TGTCACCAGCATGGTGGCTTTGTTCTGTGTTTCATCCTGAGTCAAAAGAATTAGAGAACCTCTGGAAGCCATCCCGCTTTCGTCCCTCAGTCTCTCAACATGGTTGTAGGTGGGAACCAGGAAGAAAAACAATTTCCCCTATCTCGTTTATTTAATCTGGTGTATTCAAAGAGTTTTTAAGATTTGGTATGAGCATGGGGTCTGGTTGTGACCTGTTGAATATTAAAGAGTAGATAAGGCCTTATGGACAGAGGGTAAATGTTGCAGCACAAGCTGCTTCCTCTGATAAGCTTCCCTCCACCTGCAATAGGGCTGTGGGCAGTAATGATGTTGATTAGTAGGAGGAGCTTGGGAGGTTCCTGTAATTTTGGCTCTTGTCAAATTATAGAGGAAGTGGCTCTCTGTCTTAGATTTGTTTCATGGTATAAGCTAGTTTGCAGGGCACAGGGGATGATGCCATAGGACCAAGAAAATCTCTTAAGAATCTGCTGGCCAAATAATTTATATTCTAACATATGCTTTCTCTTTTTGTAGGTCATAGCTGAAGTAGGAGTTAAGTTTTGGTGCCAATGACAGAGTAGTTCTTAACTCTGGCTGCACATTGAAATCCTCTGAGGCTCTTAAAAAGAGACCATTCTCCGGGTTTCACCCCAGGGCAACTGGGTTAGAATCTCTGGGGTAGCGCCAGGGCATCAGCATTTTAAAAAGGAAATATACAGGAATTAATAGAAAACTAAAAGTTGAGTCACAAAGTGGGAGAAAATATTTACAAAATCACATATGTAATAAAGGAATTGTATCCAGAATATATAAGGAAATCTTGAAAGTTAATAATAAGACAATGAAGAACCCAGTTAAAGAATGGGCAAAAGATTTGAACACTTCACCAAAGAAGATGGATGGCAAATAAACACATAAAAAGTTGTTCACAATATTAGCAACTAGGGAAATGCAAATGGAAACCACATTGAAATATCATTATACACCTTTTAAAATGGCAAACAAACAAAGCAGCAAGAAAAAGCAACATCTGACAATTCTGAGGGCTAGCAAGGAGCAGAACAACTGGAATTCTCAGGTAGAGCTGGTGGGAATGAAAAATAATACAGTCACTTTGGAAAAGAGTTTAGCAGTTTATTATGAAGTTAAACCTACACTTACCACACAATCTGATAATTCCACTCCTAGGTATTTGCTCAAGAGAACTGACAGCTTGTGTTCACACAAAAACCTGTACATAAATATTTGTAATGGTTTTATTTATAATGATCTCAGACTGGAACCAACTCAATTCAACATTCAACTAGTAAATGGATAAATATACTGTAGTATAGCCATGCAATGGGATCCTACTAAAAAATACAATGAAATGACCCAACGATATATGCAATATGAATGAACATTAGATGCATCATACTAAGTGAAAGAAACCAAACTCAAAAGAGTATATACTGAATGATTCTATGTGTATAACATTCTGGAAAAGGCAAAAGTATAGGGACAGAAAACAGGTTAGTGGTTGTCAGGGGTGGGGGTGGAAGAGAGGAGAATTACAAAGAGTTAACAAGAAGGAATTATTTGGGGATGATGGAACTCTTCTATATCTTGAGTGTGGTGGCAGTTATGTAATTGTGTTGGTCAAGCTCATAAAATTGTATATTTAAAAGGATACATTTTACTGTATGTAATTATATCAATAAAGCTGACTTCTCTCTCCCAAACGATTCTTTAGAAAAAAAAAATTCCCCAAGTGATTTAAATTCATAGCCAACTTCAAAAGATGTTGTTGGTATAACAAATTTGAATCTAGGTTCTGGTATTTAAATTTCAGTTTTCTTATAGGTGAAACTGAAGATAATAAAACCCACCTTGAAGAGATATTATGAATTTTTTTAATTTTAAAGATTTATTTATTTTAGAGAGAGAGAGAGAGAGGACCTGTGGGAGGGGCAGAGGAAGAGGGAGAAAGACTCAAGCAGACTCCTTACTGAGTGTGAAGACCAATGTGATGCAGGGCTTGATCCCATGAACCTGAGATCATGACCTGAGCCAAAATCAAGAGTTTGATGCTCAACCCACCACCCAGGTGTGGTGCAGAGATGTTATGAGTATTAAATGTGATAATGTACGACAAGCTCCGAATACAGGATTTGGCACACAATAATAACAACTGCTTATGTAGCACTATGTGCCAGGAATTGCCACAGCACTCCCAGGCATCTCTAATCTTTACAGCAACTCTGTGAAGGAGATATCATTATGACCATTTTCAAGGTGGAGAAACTGAGGCTTAGAGAAATTATGGAACTTGCTCAAGGTCTCACAGCCAGCCAGTGGCCCAGCCCATTTCCAAGTCTAATCTTTTTTTTTTTTAAGATTTTATTTATTTATTTGACAGACAGAGATCACAAGTAGGCAGAGAGGCAGGCAGAGAGAGGAGGAAGCAGGCTCCCCACTGAGCAGAGAGCCCGATGCGGGGCTCGATCCCAGGACACTGAGATCATAACCTGAGTGGAAGACAGAGGCTCTAACCCACTGAGCCACCCAGGCGGCCCCCAAGTCTAATCTTAACTTTGCTGATTACTATACCACTTCTGAAATCTCAATTTCAACATCCTGCTTTTTGGCTTCATGTCTACTGTTCTAGTGCACTTTCTCAGTATTTTCAATGGTGTCCTCATGGTTGGGCCAGGTTTTGGTAAGGCCAGAAGGAGAAAGGAGCATGTATTTAAAAGTCTGAAGGTAGAGGGGAGTTTGAATATTGTGATATGGAGAAGTGGTGGGAAGTTTGGTCAGGGGAGATGAAATATAGCGATGATGATACAGGAGTGGAAAGAAGATAGCAGAGGGGGACTTCCCTCAGTTTAGTGACAAAGGATTACAGAACGAGAGGCCTGGTTGGAGGCGTGTGTTGTAAATATGCACAAATTTGTCACAAATTATTTTGGCCCGGGTTCTGCCTGGGAGCTATCGGAGAATACTGGCTGGCCTCCGTTAGTGTAGAGAAACGTATGGATACAGCCACATGTTGAAGGGGGGGGGGGTTCTTGATTTGGAAAGAGGTAGGGTTTTGTTTTGGTGTCTGGTGTGGTGGTGAAGTCACCAGTTACTGGGCAGTTCCAAGACCTTCAGTAGAGCTGGGCCAGTTTTGCTGACAAATTCTTAACAATGGATTCTCTGAAACCAGGCAACACACCAGACTCTGTTGGGAGCACTTGCCAATTTTTATGGTGTAAATATTCCTACTATAGCCAATTTCAAGGTAACAATGGAAAATTGGGAAGCGGTGTGCACAGTTACGGCTCTTGGCAGCTGGCACAAGCTGGTCCCAGCACAGCACTGGCTGGGTCAGTCTTTGGTCCTCCATATGAGCAGCAGAAAAGTCTGAGCTATGTAGTGCCACAAGCATCTTGGCAGGGGTCAGCCTTCCAGAATGCAACTGAGCCTTGTTCTTGTTTCTAAATATAATGTAACACTGCAAAGGATAAAATGTGGGTGACTTATTTGTAGGACTCATTGTGGTATGGGAGATAGGGTCATAACAGAATGGAACGAGAGGAGAGTGGGCAATCTGCATTAACTGGGCAGGACTCAGCCATCTGGCCTATGCCTTCAGTGGAACCCCTGGTAATATGTCTGTTTTTTGTCCTACTATCGTTAATTTGTTCTATATGCTAATACTTCTAGATCTATAAATTTATAGTAAGTAAGAATCTGGCACTTTCCTCCAAATAGTTTTTTTGCCAATAAGCTTGAAAATGATTGCCATTGGGTTAATAGCATTTTGAAGTATCCACAGAATTCATCCAATTGAATAATTTATTTTCATCTATAGGAAAACATAGTTTCTGAAGGAACCTCAATTATTAGGCTATTCATGCATCTTAGAGATGACTTCAGGAAAAGGGATACTTGTACAACCAATAGGGAAGTAAGCCTTGACAAAAGATAAATAAAATCAGTTTAGAATTACTTCCCTCATTAAGTTAAAATGATATAAACTTTCTGGTTGTGTGTTCCTGGGCTATGCATCCCCTGTGGATGAAGGCTAGTCTAGACAGACAATATTCATGTAGAACTTTCCTTGTGATGGTGTGCTTTTGTACATAGGAATCCTGATATATTAAGAATTCTTGCTTTTGAGGCACTGGATGAGGCCATGATGTTCCCTGCCAGGACAGGAGCTGACCTACGCGATCTGCCACCAAAACCCCAGTGAAATGCTTGTGCATTTACAACTCTCAAGAAGCAGGATGTGTTCTTTGTCCTTCTTTTTCAAGTTATTATCTATTGACCTATTCCTGGGAAGATACTGTGGATCACAGATCAAGAGAAAAGGAGGGAAGAGGAAAAGGAAAATAGTGGAGCCTTTTCACAAATTATCCATATATAAGTCCTGGTGCCTTATGTAAAAAATGAGTTTTATGATTCTTTCCCAAGGAGAGAGGCGGCTATGGCTGAACTACCCCTGTAGAAAACAATCTGTTGAAGTGCTTGTGGCAGATGGTGCTTTGTGATTCTCACGATGGCTTTATATTTCCTAGCTTGGTTTCCTCCTGCTTGGGGGTCACAATGCCAGTTTTTGGCTCATCAAATCCCAATCATATCAGATTTAGTGACTTGTCATTTTGCTACTCTGCCTAGCCTTTATGTATTACTTATAATCCAGCTATATCCACCTTCCCACAAAGGGATTGACCTATCTTCCATCGAAAGAGAGAGTTATGATAAAAACGGAGACATTAAGACATGACAGGGAATGAGAAGTTAGGAGGTGGTCAGACACCAGAATAATTATCTGTAACAAAAAACCGAAGAAAAAAGAAGCTGCTACATTTGAGTCTTGAGCTCTCTGGCAGTTAGGGCAAGAAAGGAGCCTGATGACCCCTTTGCTGACACTTCATACTTCTCAGCACTGAATATTCTAGAGGAGTGGGATGAGAAGTAACAGACTGACCAGTGCACTTTCCACAGGCCTTCCACTGTACTGAGACACTTACCTGATAATATGGATGCAACGGCTGCAATGATGAAGGACACAATGACACCGGGTCCTGCCATTTCCTTAGCCACCAGACCAGATACCACGTACATCCCCGTGCCCACGCAGCTGCCAACGCCAAGTGAGATGAGGTCCATGGTGGTGAGCACCTGAGCTAGCTTGGTGCCATGGGCTGTGGTGGCCCCAGTTCCCTCCAGCATGGACTCCACTGGTTTGGTGCGCAAGATCCTGGAGTGCATGGCATACCAGGCGGCCCCCCACTGCACCCACCGGGGGTCCAGGGAGGCAAGGAAGCCACTCATCCTGTGTGATAGGGTCTTGGTGAAGGCCAACTGATGAAAGAGGTTCTATGGGAGCCTTAGTGGGTGCTTCTGGAACTCATCTAGTGAGTAGGGATCTCCTTTTTAGGAAAGGTCCAGAGGGACCCAAAGCAGCCTTCTCCTGGGCATGAATGTCTGCAGGAAAAACACAAGAAAGAAGAAGATGAGACTAAGCAGGGACAAACGATCACTTGGAGGCACGGTTGGAGGTCGATATACTGAACCGTTTAAATAGGTCTATCTTGTGTACTCACAATGCGGGAGGGTTGTAGTCTCCTGTGTGTTACCTCAGGTCCTAAATAACAATCTGCCATTTGCACTTTGTCCCTGAGTCGTTCTGAAGAAGATGGTCTGAGTCAGGGCTCTGCCACTTACTGCTATGGGACCTTGGGTAAGTCACCCTCCTTCTCTGTGCCTCAGCTTCAACTGTATAATGGGGTTAATAAAACCTACCACCTAGTGTTGATGTAAAGATTAGATTAGTATCTAAAAAGAGCTTAAGACAATGCCTGGCACATGGAAAATGCTCACTTGGCCTGGCTCTGCCAAGACTTACCTTGTTGCTGCTGCTTCTTGGTAGACTCGGTCTGTGATTTTTGGACACATTCTTTGGGGGAAACAACATCCTCATTTTTTAAATACAAAGATGTAAAATTAGATTTATGACTTTTAAGGGGACAGTCCCACCCCATGGTGTTGTTTCAGAACTTTGCTCTCAAATAAAATGAAAAGTGTCTTGAGCCTTTTTTTGCTCTCAAAGATCGAAGAAGAGGACGTGTTCTTGGTATTTGGTGGGTGAGCCCCAGAGACGCTAACCGGGTGGGAAGGTGTCATCCAATTTTCCATGATCTCGCAGACATTCTTGTGGATGAAAATTCTGCTTATGATAATTTGAACCCAAACGCTAATAGTATTATGTATAAACATATGGGGTTTTCAGGGATGGTTTTAATATACATTGACTTTTCCAGGAATCCAACTATAGAGTAAATGGAAGGATGATTGTAAACTCTTTAGTCTGGAATCAAAAAGGAATTCTTCACGGCTTCAGAAACTCAAGGCCCCCTCTCAGCACCACCCATGGATCTCCCATGCAGCACACCTGTGACTGCCTGCCCTTTGGAAGCAGCACACTGACAGTGGTTCTGTATACAGCGAAAGCATCTGACAGCTCCCTGGGTGCCCGCCTGAGTCTTTCCATACTCAAGTATGTTCTATACAGTCAGGTTATTCATGCATTCTGCTTCAGGGTATTAAAAGGGGGTGGTCTAACAAAGCCTTTATTACAGAAAAGAGGTGCTGGTCTTCATAGAGCTGAGAACTATTATATTAGATGATTTCCCAAGTTTTGAACAGTTAGAGAATGCCGAGATGATACGAAGCTACTTTCTTTGGAAGCCAGAAGTTTTATACAGTTCTATAAAGTTCAGGTACAGTTGAACATTAATTCCAACTATGGTGCTGACAAGCCTAGGACATTTACATTTACAAGAAGTACCAGCCCATGTAATCTACCAATATTATTAATTAATACTACTTAATGTTTAATGTAACATTTGTCTGCTTTTAAAGGCTTTACAAACACAAACTAATTAGAAGAATCAGACAACATGAGGCAGTTTGGTTTACAGGGGTTGGGCAATGGACCTACTGGTTTAATTTCCTCCTAGTTTTGACAGTGCTGTTTCATGCTGTGTTTTAATTCTTGACAACACCTTAAATATCAGTACATGTGGATAGTGCCATTGTATATGGCAGAGTTATTTTAAAAGCCTAGAGTGTCAGCAGTCTCTTTTCTCTCTCCTTTCCTTTCCTTTCCTTTCCTTTCCTTTCCTTTCCTTTCCTTTCCTTTCCTTTCCTTCTCTTCTCCCTCCCTCCCTCCCTTCCATCTTTCCTTCTTTCTTCCTTCTTTCCTTCCTTCCTTCCTTTCTTTCTAAGATTTCAAGATTTGTCAGAAAATGTATCACATATATACCAGAGAGTCTGTGAGAACAATTGTTTTGCTTGAGCTCTTGTGAGAAATTAATGTATATATCTATTTAATTTCAACTCAGCCAGCATATACCAAGTATCTGTTATGTGCCAGGCATGGTCTTAGACTTGGGGTACAAAGACATGGTTCTTGCTCGCATGGAGCTTTCAATCTAGAATGCGAGGTGATGAACACCTAAATCACAAGGCAAGGACTAAGGTTTGTTTTTGCTTTTTCCTGAAAAGGTTATTTTTTAGGGGTGCCTGGGTGGCTTAGTCAGTTAAGCATCTGCTTTTGGCTCAGGTCATGATCCCAGGGTCCTGGGATCAAGCCTCATGTTGGGAGGGGGGGTGGTGTCTCAGCTCAGCAGGGAGTCTGCTTCTCCCTCTCCCTGTTCCTGCTACTCCCCCTGCTTGTGCTCTCTCTCTCTCTCTGTCAAATAAATAAATAAAATATTCTAAGAGGCTTATGTTTTATTGTTTTTCTTATTATAAAGCCATAGGATGTCTACCGCAGAAAAATCAGACAACATAAACAGTGCTGTTCAGAGAGGAAAGAATATAACACAATACGCAGGATGATAAATAAAATCTGATCATTCCAGGGAGACATGACGGGCATATCAGATGTTGAATTGTGTACCCCCCAAATTCGTATGTTGAAGTCTTAACCTCCAGGGTCTCAGAATGTGCCCTCATTTGGAAATAGTTGTTACAGATGTAATTAGTTAAGATGAGGTCTTCTGGAATAGGGTGGGCACTTAATCTAATATGACAGGTGTCCTTGTGAAAAGAGGACATTTGGACACAGAATGAGGTGTGAAGATGAAAGCAGAGGCCAGGCTGAAGCATCTAAAGGCCAAGGAACACCAAGGGCTGCCAGCAAACCCCCAGAGGCTGGGAGAGCGCCGCGGAGCACGCCTCTTCCTCACCCCGCTACACTGTCATCGCAGACTTCCAGTCTCCGGAACAGGGACAATACATATCTAGTTTTCAGATGCGCAGTTTGGGGTGCTTGGTTATAGCGGCCCTCACAAGCTAACCGCAGTCGTGAAGGATACAGGATGGGGTGCTGAAGGGGTGAGAGAGGGTCTATGAGGCCACGGATTGGCATTGGCCCCTGAGTGACGGGGAGTCAGTCGTGCCAGCTGTCAGGAGAGAGCGGTCCTGTGCCTCAGTCCCAATGCGAGAGCAGGTGTGACCCGTTCCCGGGACTGAAAGAAGCTGGGATGTGGTGAGGAGGAAGAATCCGGTGTCTTGTCAGAGCTTTACGTGTGCCAGCTAATTTAATCCTCATGACAAATCTGCCTTTAGAGAGGAGGCCGGGAGAGGTTCAGTAACATCTCCAGAGTCGAGGAGCCCATAGTGGCAGCCCCAGGGACACCTGCTTGCAAGCTCATGTCCTTCCTCCTAGCCCTCTCACCTGAGGTCCGGCATCAGCCTGCAGAGAGCTTCGGAGCTAAGACAGGGCTTGAGTCACTCTGAGCACAGCGAGAAGTGCTGGAGGTTTTATTTAAGTGAGTGATATGATATGATTTACGTTTTAAAAGGCTCCTGTAGTGAAAAGAAGGGCCATATGTACCCAATGTTCATAGCAGCAATGTCCACAATAGCCAAACTGGGAAAGAGCCAAGATGCCCTTCAACAGATGAATGGATCAAGAAGATATGGTCCATATAGACAGTGGAGTATTATGCCGCCATCAGAAAGGATGAATACCCAACTTTTATATCAACAGGGACGGGACTGGAGGAGACTGTGATGAGTGAAATAAGTCAAGCAGAGAGAGTCAATTATCATATGGTTTCACTTACTTGTGGAGCATAAGGAATAACACGGAGGACATTGGGAGATGGAGAGGAGAAGCGAATTGGGGGAAATAGGATGGGGAGATGAACCATGAGAGACTGTGGACTCTGAGAAACAAACTGAGGGTTTTCGGGGGGGTCTTGGGGGGTTGGGTGAGCTGGTGGTGGGTATTAAGGAGGGCACGTATTGCATGGAGCACTGGGTGTGCTTATTCATTGCTTATGCAATGAATTTTGGAACACTACATCAAAAACTAATGATGTGTTTTATGGTGACTTACATAACACAATAAAGAAAAAAAAAAGAAGTCTCCTTTTAGTGTCTGTGAGGTTAACCGAAGAATCATGTGCTAATGATAAGTTAGTTCCAGGATGGAGTAAAAAGGTGCTTGAGGTATGGCCTGGCCTCTGAGGAGACAGACCAGCCAACGGAGAACCATCACCAGAGCAGTTACATAGCAGCCTGTGCACAAGGACAAGGGACATAGGGGGAAGGGGACAACCATCCAGAGGGCCAGGTACAGCCTCACAGGTCACCTGTGTCAGAAATGAGGAGAGTGGGCCCATGTCAGGGCAGGGCAGGAGCCTTAATGTTGGCTTTCTGAAGGATCGTCATAGAGTTTTCTGATCTCCTGATCCCTTTGCAGTGGTTCCCTGCAGTCTAGAATTGCCCCAGGATTCTTCCAGAAACACTGCTGCCTGGCTCCCACCCTAGAAATTCGTTCAGTTGGCCTGAGGTGTGGTCTGGAGATGGGCATTCTGTAAGGCTCCCCCGGTTGGTTCTAGCAAGGCCCAGTACATGCCACCAGGGAAGACTAAAGTGGTGGGTGTGGAAAACCACGTATTTCCTGTGATGATTGATTTTATGTGCTACGGGATGCCCAGATGGCTGGTGAAACATTTCTGGATGTATCTGTGTGAGGGTTTCTGGAGGAGATCAGCCTTCGATTCTGTAGACTGAGGAAAGAAGGTCCTCCTTCCTCATGTGGGTGGGCATCTTTCGATCCCCTGAGGGCCAGAATAGAACAGATAGGCAGAGGAAGGGTGAGCTCACTGTCTTTGCTGGAGCTGACACCCAGTTTCGATTCTCGTGCATTGGTGCTCCTGGTCCTTGAGCTTTTGGACGCAGAGCGGGGTTTATATGATTGGCCCCTCCACCCTGATTCTTGGGCCTTCAGACTCAGATTTAATTATACCTCTGGC